TCTGGGGCACGTTGATGGAAGCGTTTGCAGTAGTCTCGGTAGAGCGAGAGCTAGTGCGGCGAAGGCTGCGGTCGCCCATCTGCTGCATGCGCTGTCCATCTCCGCGCTCACCGGTGGTGGTAACGGTAACGTGACGGACTGGCGTCTTGAACTTAACAAGGGGATGGGTCTTGTTGTGGGTGTTAGCAGGGCTAGCCTCACAGTTGGCACAAAAATCAGTGTCGTGGCAAACGGTGCACTTGTATCGAACACCGGAGATGTAGGCGGGTGCGTTGTGAGTGCGGGCGCACAAGGGGCCATCGCAGCAGATACCAAAGTGCACAGAGCGGCTGACGGCACGGCTGCGGACCTCCTCCAGAGGCTCGTAGATGGGAACGAAGCGGTGGTTGGGGTGAACAAACTTGGAGTTCACGATGCAGTCAGCGCAGTAGTCCCAGTCGGGGCAATCGAGGCACTTGTGGCGGACGCCAGCAATGTACTTGTCGCAGCCATCGCAAATGGCATTGTGGCTCTGGTTGCGGCCAGGAGCCAGCTTGATCTGGATGTGGCTGGGGACGTGAGCACCCTCAACGGCGGGGACGAAGGAGTGCTTGGGGTTGTGACCATGGCAGTCCTTCTCGAAGCATGCGTGGCACAAGTCGAAATCCTCGCAAGCTGCGCAGTGGAGGAAGCTGGACTCTGGGAGTTCCGTCACGCAGCAGTTGCAGGTACGCATGCTGTACAGCGCAGTGTTGAAGACTGGACGAAGGAGCTCACTGATGTTGGCGGGCACCCTGGGAGGCTCGGGGATTGATTCCTCGACCTTGGCCTTGGGCTTGGGTGCAATCGTCTCGGTGGTGCTGTTGATGATCTGGCCGTTCTTGACAATCCTCTTGATAAGCCAGTGGTCAGTGCCGTAGCATGTGATACCCTGGTCAACGCAGTTTTGGCAAAGATCGAAATCACCGTCATCGCATGTGGAGCAGTGGTAGTGGGCTTCGGGAACTGTTTGGTCGCAGCTGTTGCAGCACACAGCGAAGTTCGTGTTGGGGTGCATCAGTGCGGGGCAGCGACCCCAAGAAGCTCGTGACGGAGTCTCGGTGGCGGCAGCATTAGCGAACCACTGGTCTCGAGCTGTAATACCCTCAGAAACGGGGATATCTGCAGAAGCGGCAGACACTTCATCGTCGTTAATCTTGGCGTGTCGTCTAAGCAGGGATGCGAGGATGGAGGCCTCGAAGTCAAGACCGGTGTCGCTAGTTGGCAGTTCCTTCTTGGCCTCGTTGTCGATGACGCTAGATTGCCTCAGATCAACGAGGGGTTGCGTCGCGGCGTCTTCCGGCTTTTGCTCCTCCACCTCCTTCACAGCAAGAGGAGTGCTGGACTCCGGCACATCCTCCACTGACACTGGTCTGGGGGACATCTTCTCCTCGGACAACTTGGTGACACGAAGCTTGAGTTTTTGCTTGGCCTTGGCAGCTCGGTAAAGCTGCTTGTAGACAGAAACGTTTTGCTTATCGAGTGTGATGTACGAACCAGCTGAGTCGGAATACCTCTCGAGAGTGACGTTGGCATCAATGGTAACGCCCAGAAGAGCTCTCACCTACAAGTGCGAAATTAGCTTCACTTTCAACCACAGGGCCCCAAACGCCTCTGGTTTGTCGCCGTCTCACTGAACAACGATTCAATGTTGTTGTGCCGCGGCAATCTGACCATGGGCGAAAAGAGGGCAATAACGACGTACCTTATCTTCAAGAGTGCTGGGTCCCATGTCGCGCAGCGGGAGTTTGTGGCGGCGAGTCATGCCGCCGAAGTTGATCTTCAGGGTGACCTGAGTGTCTGGCGTTGTTGCTGATGAGGACGCCATTTTGAAGGATGGAAAGTAGACTCCGAGTATGGATGAAGAGGAAACTCGCGGTCGGCCGGGCGGGGAGGGGATGACGGCTCTGGCGGATGTTTCACTGATAGGCGGCCAAGCAGCACGGTGCACGAGGCTCGCTCGGTCGGGGTAGAAGGTGCGTCTTCCTTCTTAGGTCGGGGTTTCAACAGATACCAGACGGATACACGGTATCTGTTGATTGTTGTAGATAGTTGCTTGCGAAGGCGGAGTTGGCGAGAGGGAGGAAAAAGAAAAGCGGACAAAGCAAGCTGTCCGGGTAGATGATGAAAGATGGTTGAGAGGGTGAAGGGACGGGGAGTGGGAAAGATAAGTGAGTTGGAGGATGATGGGGGTCGGCGGTCGGTGGCCGGGGTGGAGTAAGAAGGTGAGCAGACGTGGAAGGAGAGACCAGAGGCAGAGGGATCAGAGTGACAAAGATGGGACACTAGAAACTGGAGTGGGCGGGTGGAGGTGGGTGGAGGTGGAGACGGGCTAGGCGGATGATGCGTGTGCGTCTCTCTACGTCTCTGCGTCTCGTTCTCTCTATGGTGGAAGGTCTTGACCCTCGGGAGCTGCGTGTGTGTGTGAGACGGGACTTGTTCAAGTGCGGCAGACAAACAGCTTTGCTCTCCGCAGGTGACTTTGGGGGGTCGGGATGGGACTCGGGAAGAATAGTACCAGGGGGACCAGGAGCCACTTATGTACCAAGAGCCAAACGAAAGACGAAGAGGCCGAAACCGTGGTGGCCCGAAGAGGGAACTGAGGTGGTGGGAAAGTGAGGGATGGATGGCGAGGGATGGGAAAGGAAGGCGGGCAAGCCGCAAGTTGCAAGGCAGGAAAGGCGGTAATAGCGTCAGTCGTCACTCTCGCAACTGCCTTGAGATTCACACGGTTCACTACTTGCCCCCAGGCCAGGGGAGTATGTATGTAGGTAGACTCTCACGCTCTCAGCCCTCTCTCTCTCTCAGTCACCCGTGGATAGGTAGCATGGCATGGCATGGCATGTCTGATGTCGGTGACGGGGATCCGTCAATGGGGTGGACCTGTTGAAGGGCGGAGGGGTCATGACATTGCTGGCCTTCCCCAGGTAAGCTTGGTGCCTTTTCACACCTTAAAAGGTACTTGGCCAATGTGCCTTGGATTTAGAGAGGGGCAAGGAAGCTTTAGCAGGATATGGTTGGCTGGTTGGTAGCACGACGGAAAAGGAACGTACCTTTCTGCAGCTGCTTCCGCGATGTTAGGCGAGAGCGAATGGTGCGAACTTGAAAGGTGCAAACTGCCTGTTCCGCTCCCTACCTCGCCTTATCGAACCTTGCCTCTTGCCTGCCTCAAGAACCAACCTGAGGTACGTGGGCGAGGGAAGGGCACTCACCACTTCAAGACTGAGGCGGCTGGAAGTATACGCTTGCAGAGATAGCCTTTGCCGTGGGAAAGCCGAGACACCGCTAACCAAGACCATGTCAAAGTGTCAAATTCACGTAGTGGCATTACATGTTCCCGACCCCCCCCCCCAAAGGTTCAAACTCCAAAGTCGACAGCCCATAGTCTCCCACCGCTCTGCTTAGCAAGCCTGGCCTCTTGTCGCCATCCATGTTCCATGGGTTGCTATTCGGGAACCACAACTGCTCACATGTCACTGCAGGCAGATACACCAAGACCAGCCAAGCCAGGCAGCCTAAGACACCTCAGCTCGCCTCTACGGCTTCACATTGGATTCCTTTACACCATCACAGCGGGCAACAGGCGGCAAAAAAGGATAAGTCATGGCCATGGAACAAGTTCGAAAGAGGCGGTCAACAGCCACCACCACGAAATAGCGACTCGGCAGCTTACAATGCCATCAATGGAAGCTGCTCCAAGCTTCTTCGCCTCAATCCATTCATTGTCCACGACCATGGCCACGGCCACGTTACCTTCTCGCTGCCTCGACTCCAACTTCATCTCTAGTGCCGTCCAAGATGTTCCTTCCTTGACTGGATGAACCGGTCGAGTCATCAGCTTCGCCTTCGCCTCTGTTCTTTCGCCCTTTCAGGATAGTTGTCGAGGAACCGACGAGGTCTCGGCGCTACCAATCCATCCGCCTGTCGATTCCTTTTCTTATCTTTGCCTCATGCTATTTCGCACCCTTCGCCTACCAAGATTCGCACCCACACGCCCCCCGGCAATGACTCTCCTTCAACCACGGCGAGCCACCCTGGGCAAAGACGCAATAACCACTGCCCATTGGCACATGACGGGGGACTGCCCTGCAAACACCAGACTCGAAATGAGGCGAACTGGAGCCTCGCCGCGAATTGTTCCTATGTTTACGCACTTCAACTATGCAAAACGTGGACAATAAGCACTCATAGGAGTTGGCTTGGTCATCGACCTTTCTTGGGCTCCTTAATCTTCTCACAAATCCTTCTGCTTGAACTCGCATCTGGCGTTCAGACGTGCCATGTCACCATGGTGGCCTGCCCTCTCGACTACCGACAACTGGTCAATCTAGGTCTTCATGCAACGAATCGCGATGCCGGAGCACCAGCTTGCTGCATAGTTGCATAGCCGGTCAGTCGGTCAGTCGGTCAGTCGGTCATCCTCCACTGCGATTCAGTGATAAGACAAGGAATACGACCTCCGACCTGTCCGTCTTCCAGACCCTGTGCCTGGATTGGCCCAGGGGTGTCCAGTGCTATGTTTACCCAGAAGGCCGCCGCGCAAGGGAAAGCAGAAACCTCGAGACAGTCACTGCAGTCGATGCGTTATTCAACGCGTGGTACGGAGTAAAATCCAACCTCATGCAGCTACCGCATCCGACCTTAGCGAGCCCGGCAGCGTGGTCGCTCGAGATCGGAATGGGGAGGAGGGGCGGGTCGACCGACGACCACGGGAGACTGTCTGTTCTCTGTCACCTGGGCCTCGATTCCTCACTGGAAGCAGCAGTCACTGCCGCAAGTCACGCAGCACGCAATCCTCCGGTTTCCAGTCTCGCGGGGACTTGTCATCGAATGGAGCTGAAGTCGGACAAGACAAAGAGCTGAGGTCAAACAGGAAAAATCCGTCGGCGCTTGACTCGTTCACGTGGAGATCCTTTCATCTGTCTTGGACCAAGACAGAGCCTCCTCTGATACGAGCTCCCTGTGAAGCAGATCAAACTGGCACTCATCTCTCGACGCTGAGGTACATTGATCCGGCCTTAGTCAGCCGGTAGTCAGCCGGTAACTAGTTCACTTCTTTTCAGAAGCTCTCCGTCTTCAATTTCCGTCGAGGAGGCCTTGATGCGTGTCTCGGGCCATCAAGATCGACGGATGCCAACCTCGCATCAAACCTTCTCTGACAAGTGTCTGTGGGATGAATTAAGGACGGATGCTTCATGGCTAGTTTACACCGAAAGGAATAGCCATGGAGACGCCCACGGAGGCGAAGTTCGAAATGACAGCTCATCGTCCAGACGGAAATCTGCAGCAATGGCGCCGGCGGATCAACAACAGCGCTCTGACAAAGGCGGGGGAGGCGGGGAAGCTCTCGGTGAGCAGAGCAAGCAGGTAATGAGCCAGCAAGTATCTCACGGGCTTATTCTGGCTGGTCGGCTGGTTGGTCCTTTGGTCCAGATCGACAGATGGCGGGAATACCTAGCGAACAGTCGAGAAGTCATCCTTCCAGGTCCGAGAGCGCTGCTTGCTTGCCTGCGCCGTCCTCAACAGGCAAGGACGATACAGTTATCGCAACGCTACGCTGCATGTCACCATTCTAGTGTCCAGCCATCCAGGCTGCTAGTCATGCGAACTCAACCCCCGCCTTTTCCCAAGGTTCTCGTCAAAGTTAACCAAACCACCGCTGCCGAGGCCGCCAAGAAAAAAGATGTTTTCCTTGTCACTCGCATTGCCAGACTTTGAATTCATCTGGCGAGCTCGACCTTCAAAGTGTAAAGCAGGACGTGGGAAAGTAAAGTGGCCGGCTCAGGGGTCTGTCCCAAGAAGGGCAATCCGGACAAGACAAGTCACTCCGGACCCGAAGCTCCATTGCGCCCGGATCGAAGCCGACCACCCGATCTCTCTACTTCGAGGCTCGACCACTTCACACACGTTTGCAGGAAGACGGTGACTTTTTTTTCCATCTCATCACCCCTCTACGCCTCCTGAACCGTCCAATGTCTGTTCAAGGCACCAAAGCTACGTCAGGCGAAAAAAATGCAATAAGCAGAGTGAAAATTCTGGCTCCTGCGCGAGGAATAGTCTTTAAGCTTCCATACTCGTCCCATCAATTCGACCATGGCGCCGCCTTTCATTAACTCATCGAGGACCTTGAAAGTCTAGTGCGGAACATGCTCCCCGTCTACCCCTGAAGGAAGGTCGAGGTAAGCTCGAAAGCTCGGTAGGCCTCTCGCCTCCGAGGCTTTCCTCCCAAAGGACGGTCCAGAGGCGAAGCAAACAAAGGAAGGGCCCAGAACTCGACAATACGTCATGTTTCCCCCTCCCCCTCCGTCTTTGAGATCTCACCACCTTCAACCACCCAAAGAGACCAAAAACCATCCGGTTCTCGACTGGCTTGTTTCATGATTGCAGGGCTTGGCGAGGGGATTCGCCAGACAACACAGAAGAACAAGACTGAGGCAGCGCGAACGCGTGTCTTCATGTCGTGCCTGTTCTACCTAATACCTGCTCGCTGACCACGATCCTTTCGCTGCCTAGTAGGTACCCATCTTTCGACACCAAAATCGACCAGGAAAGAAAAGCAAGAAAGGCCTTGAGTTTTAGACATTGGCCCTTCTCCCGCCTGGTTGGGTTTCTCCGCCGCACAGGTTTTGCAATAACGACGGGACGACAAATCATCCCCCGCTCAAAGTAGTACTGGCCTCATAGGCTCGGGTTGAACCGCTTCTGATCGGGGGTTTACGTGTACACCCGTCTCGTATTTTGCATGTATATCCTACCTTACCTCGCCTACATGCCTAACGGTCCGGAAATGTCCGCGCGACTTGCACGTCATAAATTACCAAGGCCGACATTTTGCCTGATTTTCCTCGCTGTCAACTTTATCATGTCGTGTCTGTACAAGGGAAGAAACTATCGAAGCGGTAGGACAAGCGATCGTGGGTCGGTAGATGGCCGGCACCATCGTATCTGCAGTCATCGCGCGATTGATTTCGAGGTGTCAAAGCTTCCTGTGATGCCGAAGCTATTGATGATAATGGTAATGATGACTAGACCACTAGACTTCTGCATGCGCCGTCTGTGGGTTGCTTTACTTAGTCGTCAGCTGAGAAAGTGTGAGAGGAATAACAAAAGCTGCTCAGCCACGCCAGAGGTAGCCAGGAAATCATGACGGTCATTTAGATATCTGATAAATTCAGGCAAGCTACCAGGTACATGATCTTAGTCGTGGTGATGTAGCTTCCCGCTTTCATTTCTGCGACTCTCGACGCTCAGGAATGTGATGAACGACGTTTCCGGGCACGTTATTCACAGACATTGCTTCCCCGTTCCCCAAGGTAGGTATCTGAGACCAGCCTAGGGAAAAAGGGGCCATCAGTTCTTTCTCAGCGAGACTTTTCGGCAACATGCTCATACGGCTTGGTCAAGCAGAGAGCAATTCCCGTCATTCCGCTTTCAGTATCACCCATTTAAGAACCTTTGGCGTCACAGCCCATGCCAAGCTATATCAAGAGTCGGTCCATATGTAGTAGAAAAAACAGTAGCTGATCGAGTTTCACAATGTTGCTTCCACTGTTCTGATAGACTCCACAGTCTACTACCGAGCAGAGGCCCAAGATTAAATCAGAGCCGTGATTTGATTACGGACAGTATACCAACACCATCGTTGAGGACCAGGATTCAATCACGAAGATTTGATACAGTAGCTTTAGACTACCTAACCCCCACTCCATTCCACTCCCATCCCTCCGTCTTTGCCATCTTCTTTTTCCTTGTAATACTCAATAGCACCTACGTCCTCACTCCGCGCTTCGAGTCCCTTCTTCATAAGTCTTTCTCTCTCCCTTCTCCGTCTCCCCCCTCGTCTCCTAATAAAGTCCATGAGAGTGCTACTCGAGCCAACCGATCCTTTCTTGCCCTCACGTCTTTAAGTATGAATTCAAAAAAACATCTGTCAGAACTTTTCCACCGCAGAATACTCTTTCAATACACACAAGAAGAAGCCAGACCATGGGTGAAAAAAGAATGGCAAATACAGTAAAGCTGCCTAGACAACAAACAGCTAAAAAGTAAATGCAAAATCAGAACCTTGATAGGAGCGGGGAAGAAGAGAGATCTAGGCTTTCGTTGGATCATGATCGAGAAGGAAAACAGTAAACAAACCAAACGTTCAAAAACTGTGAAATGATGTCAAAAGGGGCTGGCAGTCTTGTATACCGATCCCGCCCATGTTCAAGTTGTAGTGAGTGTGGAGGAACATCTAGGTAAAGAAACTCGGCCCATCGTCGAAAATATCGATAAAATAAGAGGAGAAACAAAAGGCGAATAGAAGTAAATGTATAGACGCTCAACAAACATAGCGAACAGCCTCCCCGATACTCATCCGCCTGTGAATTCAGCAGCAGCAGACCCCAAGAATTTAATAACAAACTCAAAAACGCCAGAAACGCATAGGGACGACGTGTGAAGTGGACAGATAAAGGTAGGCTGGAAAAGATGGTGGAAAATCGTAGAGACAGATTGTGAGGAACTTCTTGAATTCGAGAACAAGGCGAGGTTGTAGGAACCGGAGAGGGACTCTCTCTTTCTGTCGACCGCTTCTCGCTCGCCCTCCACCGATTCCGTCGGAATCATTCCCGCCTTTTTCCAAAACATGCTTGTAAGCATACGTCGGAACAGGAGAAGTCAAGTAAAACCTCAAAGGCCAACGACAGTACCTCGCAACCCCATCCTCCAACAGTGTACCAATTCAACCCAGATCAAGAGCGCTCATTCCTATCGATACTATAATCATAGAGTTCAAACACCGCAAAGTTTTTTGTGGATTTCCTCCTGCCCTTTGCCCCCGTCCGGCCGTCCGACGAGAAGAGGGTATAGCGACGGCTAGAGAGCCGACAATGACAATTACAAGGATTAGAAGGAAGGCGATAGGAGGCGTGGAAAACCCTAGAGAGGTGTTTGCCCGTACCCCTATTGAGAGTAGTACACCATCCCGGGGGCTGGCTGCTGGTAGTAAAAGGCGTCCGGGCTCGGCGTCACCATGCCGCCCATACCACTAACACCGGGGCCAAACTGCGGGGGAGGCTGGTAGCTCTGCTGATAGTTGTTCATGGAGGGCATCTGGGTGGCATCGTAATAGTACACCATGCCGTTGACTTCTTGAGCTACCAAATTGGGACCCGTTGGTGCTTGGCCGTTTGCTTGTGCAGCCGCGGGGTCCGCCTGAGCTTGAGGAGGGAATCCCTGGCCTTGGCCTGGCTGTCCCGAAGGAACGAACGATGGAGCTGCGGCAGAGGGTCTCATGTTGTTGCCATTGTACTGTCCGGGGTAGTAATACGGCTGCTGAGGCTGCATCATAGGGTAAGGCTGGTTGTAGAAGTTTTGCTGCTGCTGGAACGTGTTCGGCTGGAACGGAGCCGCGTGAATTGCCCTCTCGGGAATCTGGGACAGAGGCGTGCCGGTGGAGTGTTGCGTGGGGTACGACGGCTGTCGCGAGTGGGCTTCTTGCGGCATGCCGTTGGAGACCTGGAGAGGAACCTGCTGATGGAAAGCTTGTTGGAAGGCTTGCGGGCCTTGGTTGAGGGTCGGCGATTCAATGTTTGTGACCGAGACAGCCTTTTGGGGACGGGGCTGGTGCATAGGGATCGGGTTCGGGCGGCTCTCTTGAAAAGCAGGCTTCTGTGGCAACGGATGCGTCTGCGGCTGCGGCAAGTCATTGATAGATGTCTCGTTTGGCTGTATAGGATGCATGGGGTACCCGTCCTGTCCAACAAATGGCTGATTTGGGTGAGCCGCAGGTGGGAGGCGGACGACAGGCCGGGGGTTCTCGACTGGAACAGGGGCCCGCGACATGACAGACCCCGTGGGGGAGAACAAGTAGTCACGCCCGTCAGGAGCGAGAGAGGAGCGCCGGCTAAGAGCGATACTGGGAGAGTAGGCGCTGCCGTAGTAGCTTCCACCGAAGACGCTGGTCCGCCGGGAGAAGCCTCCCATGGAACCAAGTCCAGAGCGAGGTTTGCCTCGGGTCCGCTGTTGGTTGGGTCGCATCGCCCGGGGGATAAAGATGAAGGATCGGTCGACAGCTGGGAAGATGTACTTGGGCGGGTTGTCGGGCAAGGAGATGCGGACAGGCTTGTCGCGGCGAAGGGGTGGCCGATGATCCGGAAGCTTGGTGTATTGTTTGACTGGCATGCCAAAGGCGGCGGGAGCTTTGCCAACAACGGGAAGAGACACCCTGACCTGCACGTTGCCGATGTGTCGCTCGGTCGACAAAGTCCGGTTGATCGGGGTGGGGTTGGACGGGCACGTTGGGATGAAGCCGTTGCCGTTGGCCGGACCTTCAGTTTCGACGGGCAGGTGCCTTGGCTGTCTCGAGGGAGGCGGTTCGGTCACGGCCTCGTGCATATCATGTGCCCATTGGCCGCTCGTGAGAGGATCGGTCGGCGTGTGCAGTTGACTGCGCGGATTAGCCGGGAAACGAGCAGAATCTTGCTGAGCAGCGTACTTGATGGGTGCATAGGGGCCCCCAATGCCTCCACCACGGCCACCACGTCCTCGTCCTCTGCCAAAGGGTCGGAAGCCGTTGGCAGAGGGTCCGGCATGGCGATGATCGTGCATGAAGAAGGCCCCTCTGTTGGGAACGAAGGCGGGGTCTTCATCCCGTCTCCGCTTGTATTCTTCGTGTTCCCGGCGACGACGTTCGTTGACAGGTTCGGCAACGCGGGATGAGTGGGAGCTCACGACGAGAGGGGCAGAGGACTTTGGGGGAGATGCGGCTCCGTCAAGTTGTGCCTCCTGTTGAACGGGCTCGGACCGGTCATTGACAGATAGCTCCTCGGCATCGGGTGTTGCCTTGTTGGTCGTCGAGGGGGCCAGGGCCGAGTGTTTCCGGCTACCGGGCTTTGCGTTTCCATTCCCAGCCGACTTTCTAGGATTGGGGGTAACGGGAGAGGCCTCATCGATGTTGCTCGTATCGCTATCGTTGCCGTGATCGTGGTCGTCGCTGATGATGGAGCCCTCGGTCAGAGAGTCATCATCGAGTTCGAGCTGGTCGGGTCCACCTTCTCCGTCTTCCTCATCCTCGATGCGTCTTCTGTGACCAATCTTTCTGCGTCTCGGGGCGGCCATCTTGAAGCTTGGTTGGAGCTACCTGTAGCAGACTCGATGGGTTGATGAGCCGGCTACGAGGTCAAGCGAGGGGCGATGCTCAGGTTGACGGATAGGACAGGCTCGAGGAGCGGAGGCGGCGGCGGCGGAAGGATGTCGAGACAATCATGCGATGCTTGCGGATGATGGATGAATGGAAGAGAGGGGGAAAAGCAAGTACCGCCCTGCGGTTGGCGAAGAATGAGGACGATGGAGCAAACAGACAGCCAAGAAGGCGTATTAAATAAAATACACAGCAGCAGTAGCAGCAGCACCGGTTCGTCGGGCAGTGGGGTGAGCAGCAAAGCAGAGCGGGAGGAGGGGGAGAAAAAACGCAATGCTGTTGACGAGCTGGAGCTGAACCCGTGTCGTCTCCTCTGACCTCTCTGCTTCTAATGAAAGAGCAGATGAAGTGGAAGCCTGGGAATAGGAGGAGGGTTTGGGTGCGAGGAGGAATCGCAGGGGTGGAGATGGTGATGATGATAGAAGGGAGGGAGGGATTTCGGCCAGACGACAAAACCAAGAGCCGTTGACTGGACGGGCGACGGAGAGACGGAGCCACCTCACAGACCCGACAGCTGGTGCAGGTGCAGGTGTACGGTAACAGTACGCAGTACGCAGTACCTCAGGTAGGTGTTGGTGCTGGCGCTGGTGCTGGTGCACGCCCAGGTGGTGCACCTCAGTTCATCCTTCCGACCCGTTTCGTTACTACTGGGCCTGGGAAAAAAAAGTGTGGTGTTATTTTTTTTCTTCCCGTCGGGTCGTCTCTTCCTTGGGCCGTGGCTGGAGCTGCCCGCTCTGTTGGCTCGAGGTACCTTACCACCTTACCTAAGGTAGCTAGGTAGCTAGGTATCTTGGTACATGTCTCAACCAGTAGGATTCCCTCCTTGGGGCCGGCTCACCTCGCCAGGCTTGCGACGTTGCCTGGTTGCTTTGGGCCGTTTGGGGCCTGGACTAGCTGGACGTGCCCGCTGTGGAGAGCTGCGAGCAGAGCTGCCCACTAAAATCACCTCGAAAGCTGTGAGGTAAGGAACCTAACTTCGAGGTACGGGTACCTTGGACAGTTTGGGACGCTAACGTGGTGCTCCCCCGCCAATCATATATGCTTACCGCATCAGAATCGACCCACTTTGATATTTGTTTCGTCGACGTGAGTCCAAGTCTCTCATCAATTCACCTCATCCTCATCATTGGTATAGTTGTCCATCAAGTACCTATCTCCATATGTTTCTACATTCATACGTGCCACTCACTTACTGAATGATTCAATCATATAACATGAAGTTCCAGACGGTTTGACACTCCCCAAAACCCCAGCGTGATGCGCCGGCATGCCGTTTCAGGTCTCAGACGCTGGGACGGCCCAGGATCTATCTCGATCTGGCACCGAACCTTAACTTCGTCTTGCTCTCCATGTGTCTTTCACTAGAACCTTGGGATGGGATGACAACTTTTTGACTCTCAGGGAGAACGAACCTAGATCCGAGCCAAGAGTCAAAGGACCGCTCACTGCACTGAGGTCCAACGGACGGTCTCATTCTCCAGCGTAATAACTGCTGGGCAGGTAGCCTGACATTGGTGTTCTGGGAAATTGTGGTAGATCGTCTGCAAACCTTGCCAATTCATAGAGATTCAGCCTCTGCAGACAATGTGCTGGGGGGGGGGGGGTTTCCTTTGCAGAACTTGCCCGTCCAGCCATTTGTCTCTCAGAGCTTTTCTCTCAAACTGAATTGATCCTTGAGCTCTGGGCCTCGTCAAAGCCAATCACAACGTTGCAAATTGCTTTTACAACAGCGGATGACATGAACCGTATAAGACCATTTCAACATACAGATAGAGAAAGTCTTCTGAAAGACAGCCAATCTTCAGTCTCTCTGATTGAGTCTCGGGGAGCTGCCAACTCTTTGTCTCTCGGACAAGCCATCTGTGTAGCTCGGCTTAGACTACTCCGATACAACGAAGCTAACGTAGACGCAGAATAGTTAAATTTTGTCATAGTAAATAGCTTCTCTAAGTCATGGGGGGTTTATGCTCCTGACATGTCACTACCAAGTCGTTCAAGAGATATACGAACTCGATGAAAGATTGCATGTTCATTATCATCTGTATCTAGTCCCGCTAGAGGAACATCCCTTTTGCGTTACTTCATGAATTCCTTAAACCATAAGCACGTCATGCTCTAAGGTGGGGTGAGATTCTGCGTCTTCTCAATCTTCGGGACGGCGCCAAATCGAGTGTTTCCTTGATCCCAGATCTGCCTCAAAAGTTAGTTTCTTGTCATATCAATGCATAGTCGGAATACAGAGTGCCACTTACCGCATAAATCGACTTCAGGAACGCGTCACCCAGAATGTCAAACTCATTGGAACCTCGCGACTGCACTCCTCCATACCAGAATCCGTCACTGGCCGGCGCGAACGCCAGATCCTCCGCCTGAATCACAAACTCCTTGTCACCGACGGCGACCTTGAACTCGGGCAGGTCCTCCGCCTTGGTGCTCGTCGGAAACACGTACCCCTGCTGCTGGTCGTCGTACTTGGCACCGGGAATCGCCTTGTACAGCGCATCGCACACCTCGTCTGAGACGAGCGCCAGCGTCGTGCCCGTGTCCGCAATAGCCTTGTTCCCGCTCTGCGTCACGGCCTTGCCGTTTACGCTCGCGGATCCGGACTCGAACATCCAGAACCCTTGCGAGTTGTCAATGTCGGTCCAGTGGATGTCCTCGCCCGAGGCCGAGACGAGATCCGTGTCGATCCAGCCAAAAGTGTAGAAAGACCGCGGCTTCGCTGCGTCCCGCTCGCTGTAAAAGGCCGAGGTGAAGAGCTCCGCGTCCTTGGGGATGTCCTGCTGCGCAATCATGTTCTCGACGGGCGTGGCGACGGGGTCTTTGAAGTTGCCGTCGCGCATGACCGTGTTGATGGACCCGAAGGCGAGGCCGAGGAGACCGTCCCCGGAGCCCTGAGAGAACTGGTCCGCGAGCTGCGAGGCCGACTCGATGGCCTGGTTCTCGACTGTCAGCCCGCCGAGGACCAGATTGTCGGTGCCGACGTCGCCTGACGCTGAGCTACCGTCGCCGTACGAGATCTTCCACGTCTTTCCGTCGAGCTTCTTGTAAGTGGAGGACTTGGAGGCGTCGAAGATGCTGTGGCCCTTTTGCGTGGCGCTGCTGAGCTCCGTTGAGAAAACCTGGCGTGGGCTGTTAGTAAAGATGCAAAGGAAGTCAATTTGCTGGAGGTTATACCCAAAGGTCAGAGGAGCCCGTATCAAAGTCCAACTTGAACTTTTGCGGCGGTGTGCCGATTGAGACTTCGCAAAGGTACATTGAATCGTATTGCTGGTCTTCAGCTGTGACATCTCCATGCTGGTCGTCGCCAGTCTTCTTCGAAAGAACTTTGCTCATGGAGACCCGGCCGCCGACGGCGGCATTAAACCCAGGGGCTGCGAGGCCTCTCTGGGCCATTCGTCTTGTCTGGACATAGGGGCCTGGCTTTGTTGGTTCGAACTTGAACTTGTTCAGCAGGTAGACGTAGGACTTCGTGCCATGCCGCTGGTAGTTCTTGTTGGCGATCACGGGGATCTTGGAGAGGCCTTTGTCGGCCTTGAACTTGGCTTGAGCTTTGAGGAATGCCTCCATCTTGTATGCTTGAGAAAATGAGCTTTTGGTTTGTGTGTGTTGTGTGTAGGTAGGTTGGTTAGGTCAAGTGGTTGGTTATGGCAAGGAAGCCTGAGCGCTAGCTTGGCGGATCAGGTTGATGATTTAAATACCTGCCCGTTATGGTAAAGAAGCAACAATGACGACTCGGATGGACGGCACCGAATGAACCTGGACTAATTGGATCGAACGTGCGATGGCAGGCAGTAAACCTGTTTGGACAGCGCTTGCAATGTGATGAGGGGGAGATATCACCTAGGAGATAGATAGCATGTCAATCATGCGCTGGCCCATCGGGACTTCTTATGAGACAACAAGCTATCATTTCGCTGACGACAGCCCTGAGCTGAGCTCGGCCGGGATCGAGTTGTGTGTTTTGTCACGGCAGACCAGGGAAGAGCCCAATGCCGGCAGTGTGTAAGTGTGACAGCTCTCAGCAAGACAAGGGATGGTGGGGCGGTGCAACTGCAAGGTTGAAACCGAGCTTTTGCGACTGCGCATTCGGACCTTCTGACCGTGCTCTTGAGCTGTGTTGAAGGTGGGCTAGAAATAATTCGGCCCTCGGGCCAACCCGATGAGGCAGTTGATAAGGGAGAAGAGGGGCGTAACTTGTTGGTGGAGTCTGCGTTGAGCCGACTCGAGCCAGATGAGGAGTTGTTTGGGAGGGGAAAACGAAAGGGAAACGTAGTGGAAATGGCGAGTTGCGGAGCCATGTTTTCGATGTCAAGCTGCCAACCTCTTCGTCAAAGCTTCATCGCCTGAACCATCCAGCAACCTGCTCTTGGCTTCCCGGTCCAGAGAGCTGCCGAGACTTAGCATGACGACTGACACGTGCGAAACCAGGCACAAACGGAACCAAAATCAAAGCTCCCAAATGCCAGTCAGGAGAAAGCGATCTCAGAAGACGAGCAAATCAAGCCAAGAGATGAGGTCCTCCCCCGCCGCCGATGATGTAACGAACTGCCGCACGGTGGTTCCGGGACAGGGATCAGCTTAGCGGGCCATGTCCCGTCTTGGCGGCGATCGACTCCAGACTCCTGGGTACCTTGCCAAGCAACGATGCAAGACCCGAGAAGCAGACGAGGCCTCCTAATCATGCCCATGGTACTACTGCTGGAGATGAACCGGTTATGCCGTGAATGTTCTCCTAGCCGCCGGTTCTTATCACGAGGTTCCATTCCGCTGTGCCGCGACAGCTTGCACGAACGCGTAACAGGCGGATGTGTAGCAGCACTAAATGGATGATGATGCGGGTTGTCTCAAATGCCAAGGGAAGCTCAAGGCCAGTAAATAAAGGCGTGTTCTCTATTTCGAGAATATGTCGGCTTTGACTGGCCGAGAGTTAGAGCTTGTTGATATCGTGATGTCTTTCCGCTCAGACTGGACTGTGAGGGTGTTCTAACCCAAGAGCTTTAGGCAACATTGAACTTGATGATCCCAAAAGTGAAGCCACGGACACCATTGCTAATCCAGCATGGCTCCCCTTCAGCGAGGCTGTCGACTTTGACTTCTTCTTCCACGGCCAACCCACTGATTTAGTTAGTCGAACACTCATCCCATGTTGGCGGGGAATGGCAGAGCTGTTGACTTACCGCTCAAGTGCCCATCTACGGGTGGTCCCGTCTTGGCCACCGCTCCCACCTTCGGGACTATACTTAGTAGCTACCGGCGGGGTGACCCATCTGCCGTCTCTCCAGAAGAACGGGGTTGTCAGGCTACCCTCCATGACAGATCCGTCTTTCGAGTTTACGAGAAGGACCTCCTTGCGATCTGCCAGACTGATACTCGCTCGACTTCGGGCTGTGTCGTACATAGTTCTCTCTGTAGTCTTGTAGTGCGTGTACTCGGATTGCGCAGTCTTTGTGTTATCGATCACTACTGTCATGGGATTTTCTTCCAAAGGATACCCCGCATCTTTCGAGTTGCCTGGAGGGGGAAGCCGTTCGGGGAAGAGGTTCTCAAGCGGTACCGCTGGGACCTGTGATGCCTCGCAGCTGAGATGTCCTTCTGAATCGAGTAAGACCTTGACTCGCAGCGGTTTCTCTCTGCCATGCCGAGTCAAGAAAGTCTCAATCGCCTCAGTCAATCTTTGGAGGCCGTCCGATCCCGAGATGGTCTCGATGGCAGGGGTCCAGTTCCAAAAGGTGGCAGGCCGCAGCATCCGATCCCGGTGCAGATCAAGCATGTAGAAAGGTGAGGTCATTTTGGCGTTCCAACCTGCGTTGGCTAGGCGCCTTTTGGGTACGCCTACCAAGCCAGGGTCGTATCGAAGGGATGTAAATAGCTGGAAGTTGGCCATCGTGATGGGCTTACTGTGCCAATACTGGTGTTTGGTGCAGAATGATGGGTGATTAGTTCAAGTCGACGATGGAAAGCTCCATGAACGGAAGATGGTGTTTTCTGAGGCTTAGAGGGAGTACCGAGGCGCAGAAGTCGGTTTTTGAGTTCAAGAGAAACTGCAAGAGCCACCCTGGTTTGGAAACGTTCATACCGGGGTCACAGTGGGAGATACTTGCGCCGCAATGATCTCCCGTGTATTTACGTAAGCAGGGCCACAAGAACTGCAGGTGAACCATGGATTCTGGGGCAAAGCCATCAACTGACCACTCGGTGAAAACATGAACAAACGAAAAATAGAAGCTGCATGAAATGTAAGCGGACGTCTCCTATAGACTATCTAGAATCGATAGTTCGCTTTGGGATAAGCAAGAGACGATCTGAGGTAATGGGCGAAGTTCGACGTCAGACTGGAAAAGAGCTAGGATGACCAAGCTGTTCCGAGATGGCAGATATTGAACATCCAAAGGGATCTCAAGTCTCGTTTTTCTCATCGCGTGAAACAAGCTCACCTGAGAGCTCAACTTCTTCATCCGCCATGCCAAGGAATAGGCCCAGATGATCTTAACAGACTCTCAAAGGCATGAGCAGAATTCCATCATTTTCTCCTATGTCCGAGCAGGCAAGCATACAGGTGCCGGGGAGTCTCATTAATTGCTCAAAGAAATGTGAGTCTAACAGTGTATCACAAGGACGTGCCGCGTAAGATCCAGGAGCAGTTGCTCGATGTTTTAGGACGAGAAACCAAGAGGACTATGGCGCGACCATGCCTACATACTTACCAGGCGAGACAACTACACTGTTGGTCATATGAGAGCTACGGAACTCCATCTCGTCATAGTCGTGCTTGAATGCGTTTGAGGTGAAGTTGTTGAGCCCTGTGAGAAGTTGTCGGTGATCCCATGATACTGGCTGACTGGTTGTGGGAGGAAATATAGTACGTTGAAGGGCGGTAGAGACCTTTTGGCCTACTCACTGGTTGGTGTCCGCCGCAACGTATTCGCTTTAGATTGATCGTAAGGCGATGGAAGGCATACACCTTCGTATGATCTTCAGCTTGATGAGGGGGAACACGGCACAAGTGCTCACATCAACTAATTTCCTGTACACGTAAGGAAAGCAGGCACGTAACGCAGGAGGCTTCTCCTGTACGAGCTGCACTAGCAATACGTTGATACGTATGCATGAAGACACGCGAGCAGAGGTAGACCTACACACACATGGGAATTCCTCACATACTAACTCTGATGTTGATGGTCGAGAACTCAGTACAGTTGCTTACTGGCTTCGCATTCGTAAGATGAACGACAACTAAACTACGAAAAATCTTGACCGCGGAATAAAATCGAGCAGGGATTTGTCTTCCTAAGCTGTAGACAGGGTCCAGAACTGTGACAACTCATACAAGGTGATATCGATGCCACTCTAAGTACCAATATCACCATTGTTGACCCTTGTCAACATTGCATTTCCATAATGGAAAGGTGACAGATGTCTCATACTTGCAGACTTTAATCTCATCCATGGACCGATTAATCATGGGTAGGTAATATTAGGCTATGATCACAACCTAGAGTCAAGACTGATGTGTCCCACAGTCTTGGAGTCTGGTGAAGTTATCGGTCTCTCTGAACTGCCAGCTTAGAAACATAAACATCCTCCTTTTTGTGGCTGTTGGCTTCCTTGAGCTTATGTTTCCTGAATTCAGAGCACTGGGGCTCTGTTGAAGACTCTGAAGCGGGTTTCGTCTCCTGGGCGGGCATTGCAGTAGTTTACCTGCATAAGTTATCATCAAGCATCTCTATGGCCGGCATATAATTCCGGTTCGCCTTCACATTTGCGACTAAACACAGCCGGTAACCCAGCGGCGGAATAATTCAACATCGCTTAAAGCCGAAATTGCGGCATTCTGGCATTAAGCTGGCCGTTCTTCATCGAGAGTGCGGCCACTCTGCATCTCAAGTAGAACAGCGAGCGCGGGTGCAGGCGAGTGTATGTTGGCAGCTGGCGCTTTGCTTATGGGAACTTACTTCAACCTTTCAAAGGGTCAACACAAGCCGCTATTTGAAGCAGTACAGGATACTTCATTGTTTGACACATCGTGGTGGGCACTTGAGCAGCCATGAACCTGATGTCTGGCAACAAGGGAATGGTTTTGCCAAAATATAACTCAGAGGAGATGAATCAGGGATGACCAAGCCTACGTTGTGATAGATCTATCACATCCTACGATGGGTCGTGGGAAACAGCTACAGCTGGTTTGAAACTCATTTGTGTAAAATTTGTCACTTTCGTATGGTTTATCGTCAGAGAGACGATGTAATTCACAATCGATTGCAAGATGATATGTTATTTGACTTCCAAAGTGAGATGGAGTCAGTTATATAGGTAAAGCAAAGACAGCGGAAGGAGCTGGATGATATGGTACAACCTGAGACCTTGCGGTGATGATTGTACTGAACTGGTGGGCAAAACCCACCAGGTTTTGCGAAACAAACAACATGGCAACAGTATGTCTTTGACATGTTGACTCATTGTATCCGCAAACTCGCTTTGAATCCAGTGAGACTACAGATCATGAGTTAATGTAACTCAAATAAGATGAAGTTACGTTAATGGGGAACTGTTCAAAGAGAAGACACTGGAGAGGATTTATTACTCTCAAGGTATTGAAGTGAGCACACACGCACAGTTCCGAGTCCAGGCGGTGACATGGCTTATCTGTCAAGGTGCTTGGGTACTTCACCCTGCATGCTGCCGTCCGCATTCTCTGGGCCTCTGCCTGACCAACGCACCCTTGTGTTGAGGACAATTGGGACCCTCTTTGGTTACGTAGTGTGCAGATTTATAGGCGGTCCTCCCTTGCGCCCCCACTCTTAAATCGCCTGAGGCCAAGCTGATTTGATGAATGACAGCACCAAGCAGAAGGCAACTGCCCGGAAAAACTCCTCACGAGCTTCCCCGTCGCGCAATAATTTTTTGAGGACGGTTACTGTCCAGAAGCTCCTGGCCCAGCGCAAGTGCAACAGCAACAGCAACAGAGCAACAACACCTGCAGCTCTTGCACCCTCTACATCATCGACCACGCTGGTCAGCCCATTAATTACGTTCCTTTCGACATCGCGACTCTTCTTCCTAGAACACCTCTGATACCTTTCTTCCCTTTCTCTCTCAATTGCTCTTGGGCTCATCGCCAACATGTCGAATCCCCTGCCGTCTGTGCCTCCCATGGCCAGCCCTCCGACTGTCATCCCCGTTGATTCGTCTTCTGGCCTTTGGGATCGCATCACCTCATGGGCTTCGGATAACAAGGCCATTGTCTATACTGCTGCTGGTGTCGCCGTCGTCGCCACCGGTGCTGGTGTCATCTACTTCCTCAACAGCGACTCCGTACGTCATCCTTTCCATCTTATCCTCGTAACCCTCGTCGTCGTCATGCGATCCAATTTTTCCACCCGATACTACCGAGATCTTGGCGTCTTTTGCTGGCGCCAGATCTCTCATCTTAGACAGCGAAGCTAATCAAAGTGCGATTGAAGAAGTCAGACTCGACACCAAAGCTCAGCAAGAAGGAGCGAAGGAAAAGAAAGGAAGCCGAGCGGAAGGCTGCAGCAGATGCCGAAAAGCAGCCCACACCTGCAGAGGCCGCAGCCCCTGCGTCGTCTAAAGCAGCCAGCGTCGAGTCCGCCGACGAGCTTCCCGAGATCACCGAGGCGACTGTTGCCGAGTTCACCACCGAAGAGCGGGAAAAGTACGCCGCCAAGCTTAAGGATGTCGGTAACCAAGCCTACGGTGGCAAGGACTACAACAAGGCCATCGACCTCTACTCCCAGGCCATTCTTTGCAAGGCCAACCCCATCTTCTACTCCAACCGCGCCGCCTGCTACAATGCCCTCGGCAACTGGGACAATGTCGTTGAAGACACGACTGCCGCCATCAACCTTGACCCCGAATACGTCAAGGCACTCAACCGCCGCGCTAACGCCTATGAGCACCTGAAGATGTACGGCGAGGCTCTCCTCGACTTCACTGCTTCTTGCATCATCGATAGCTTCAAGAACGAGAGCAGTGCGCAATCAGTCGAGCGCCTGCTTAAGAAGTTCGCCGAGCAGAAGGCTCAAGAGATGATGGCCAACCGGCCCAACAAGCTTCCCAGTCACACTTTCGTCGGCAACTACCTCCAGAGCTTCCGCGTCAAGCCCCGTCCGGCTGGCCTTGAGGACTCTGTGGTTTTGTCCGAGGAGACTGGTAAGGGACAACTCCAACTCGGCCTGAGTGCTCTGGAGAAGAAGACTGGCGACGGATACGAGGAGGCCAGAGCGGCCTTTGAGAAGGCGTTGGAGTTGGGCGACCTGGGCGAATTCGAGGCCCTTGCATACAACCTGCGCGGCACTTTCAGCTGCCTGCTCGGAAAGCACGACGATGCCATGGTCGACCTGACCAAGAGCATCGAGCTGGATCCTTCCATGACCCAAAGTTACATCAAGCGCGCCAGCATGAACCTCGAGCTTGGCGCCCCGGAGAAGGCTGCTGAGGACTTCGAGAAGGCCATGGAGCAGAACACCGAGGACCCTGATATCTACTACCACCGCGCTCAGCTCCACTTCATCAAGGGCGAGTTCTCCGATGCCGCCAAGGACTACCAGAAGTCGATCGACCTGGACCGCGACTTCATCTTCTCTCATATCCAGCTCGGAGTGACCCAGTACAAGATGGGTTCCATTGCATCATCCATGTCAACTTTCCGCCGCTGCATCAAGAACTTCAAGGAGGTTCCCGACGTCTACAACTACTACGGTGAGCTGCTTCTGGACCAGGGCAACTTCCAGGAGGCCATTGAGAAGTTCGACAGCGCCATCGAGATGGAGTCGAAGACGAAGCCCATGGCGATGAACGTCCTTCCTCTCATCAACAAGGCTCTCACCCTGTTCCAGTGGAAGCAAGACTTTGGTGAAGCCGAGA